AATGGCCACACCGCCCCCGCCCCCAAACGCACGATCATTCCTTACTAGATTAAAACCAGGAAGAGAGTAAGCGGAAGATGGGAGACAAGGTTTTAACCATGATTCAGACACAAGAATTGCATGAATGTTGTTACAATCGAAAGTTGCCAGCATATCAGTGTAATGAGCCGGAATACTCTGAGCATTGATGTGGACTACATTGAAGTTACGCGATGCATCAGAAAATACGGAAACCAGTGTATCAGTTAAAGACGGAATACTACAGAAGCTTTCGTCATCACGAGTTAAAGATGAAAAAGAATCTGAGTCATTGTTAAAACTAGAATTCAGCATGGGTGTGAGTAAAGTGTTATGTAGTAAAAATAAAAAAAAATATAATGTATATATATAATGAGTAATAATAATAAAAATAATTAAATAATTATCTATTATAATATTAAATAATAATAATAATAAAAATAATTATCTGGCAACACTACAAACGTCAACTTGTGAAAATTTTACTCTGTTTTTATATAAATAATTTATACATATTCCATTCTGTTTTCGTTTCTTCTAATATTTATCAACAATAGAAAAACCTTTTTGTTTTATAATAATACGCCATAATTTTACAATACTGCAAACTAAGAAGAAAATATTAAAAATGAAAATGACAATGACAGAATCAATAACTTCAAAAATAAATATACTAAAGCAAAACGATTAACAATGTTGACGAGAGCCAGAAGCAAACAAGGCGCACCCCCACCACCTCCGGACTCGTCGCTCAGCTCCGCCTCGCCATCGCCGGAACCCCGCTCCGCTGGAACGCCGGTGACTGCAGTTGCGTCGAGCTCGAGCGACGACTATTAATTCTCCCCACCTACGTCGCTACCACCTGTACGTCGGCCGGGGAGAGGCCGGCCACCGACTGGCTTGGGAACCAGGGGCCATCAGGCCCTGGGACGGGTCCCCGCTACCGGTGGTTGTGTGCGGCGCATGAAATGGACTCAAAGTATAAACGAGAACGTCATGCGCGCATACTACGGTGCTACAGAGGGAGGAACTAACCTCACGGCGTACCGTGAAAGGATGCTGTCTATGTTTCAGGTGCTTGAGCCATCTGTCAACGTCTCGGCCCAACGACTCTCGGATCAAGTGCGGGTCATCCAACGGAATTGCAGATTGGATGAGACTACGCTTGATCGGCTACGCCTTGAAGCACTGCGCAACCGTGTCGTCCCCGCACCACCACAATTGGTGGCACAGACACCTGTAGTGTCACAATGTGTGACATTGACCACTCCTATCGTTGGAGTGGAGGACGACAGGGTTGAACAAGTGAGTACTCAGTGCAATGAACGTCTGAGGAGTGCTTTGGAGGATGCGGTTCGTGAGTACAGACTTGCTCCTAGTAATTTAAGACCAAAGTTACCACGTTTGCCCATGTGTAGAAAAAATAGGGCGCTGGTGAGCGCCTTGGATTCGCTACTTAAAAATTTTGAGAGTAGCGAAAACCTCTATGATACACACTCAATCTTGTACTGTGGGGCAGTTGCTGCTTGTCGAGTGGCTAACGTCAGATTCCCAAATTTGACGCAGCAGTCCGACCAAAACCAGCAGTACCTGCCTGGCAGTGCAGGATAGAGCGTCGTATCAGTGAGGCCAGGGTACTCATTGGCAAACTATCCTGCTTCAGGGAGGGCAATACTCGCCCTAGAGTGATGCGCTTTGTAAGACGTGCATTTGTGGGGACTGAAATCAGTCCTCATGAATACTTATCACGTGTTACAGAACGCATCGACTTCCTGAAGCAGAAAGTTTATGCATGGGCAAACCGTATCAGAAGGTACAAAAAAAGAGTGGAGCGCTATACTCAGAATCGCATGTTCCAAAGAGATCAGAGGTGGGTATACAGAGATTGGGAACGATCCAACCAAGATGTGGCTGACGGGAGGCGACCGGATGATGATGCCACTAACACATTTTGGCGCAACATCTGGTCGGTGCCTGTCAGCCACACAGAAGGTGACTGGATGTTTGATGTTAAGCGAAGGTGTGAGACTATACCAGAGATGGAGGAGGTAGTAATCACCTCCTCTGATGTAGCCAGTGCAGCCTGTTCGGTCCCGAATTGGAAATCACCGGGCCGGACGGACTGCACAATTTCTGGATTAAATGGCTCAAGAGTTCACACGTTCGCTTAGCATTACACTTCCAGGCAGCTTTGGAAACTGGGTCGTTACCACAATTTCTAACAACAGGAGTTACCCACTGCTCCATAAAATCAGGTAGTTCCACTGAGCCCAAAAATTATAGACCAATCACATGTCTACCAACGGTCTATAAACTTCTTACATCCATTTTGAGGACAAAAATAACAAAACATATAAAAAAATTCCATCATGTCGGTATCTCAAAATGGATGTAGGGAGGGGTCTCGTGGAACTAAGGAGCTACTCCTCATTGATATGGTTGTTAGCCAACAGGTTCGTCGGTCCCGAAAAGATTTGTCTACATGCTGGATAGACTATAAAAAAGCATATGATTCTGTGCCACATACATGGCTCCTGAAGGTGCTGGAGTTGTATAAAATACATGCAAGTTTACGCGCCTTCTTGGAGTCATGTATGAGGCAGTGGAGCACCGTGCTTTGCTATCCGGGATGTAGACAAATCCAAGGGAATGAAGAACCTGTAAGGATAGTACGAGGAATATTCCAGGGTGACAGCCTGAGCCCACTATGGTTCTGCTTGGCCTTGAATCCTCTAAGTACTCTACTGGAGGATTCAGGGCTAGGCTATCCTTTGCGGAGAAGGGGTCTAGTTATATCCCACTTACTTTACATGGATGACCTCAAGTTGTTTGCTCCAAACAAGAAACAACTGATGGAACTACTGAATATAACTGAAAAATTTAGTAGTTCCATCAGAATGGAGTTTGGAGTAGACAAGTGTGCGGTCATGCATGTAAAGCGAGGAGGGATTGTGGAATCTGAGGGACTAGAACTCTCAGATTTCACAAAACTGAGATCACTCTCCGCAAACGATACATACAAGTACCTGGGTATGTCAGAAGGATTAGGCATTAATGGACCGGACATGAAGCAATCGCTACAGGAGCGCTTCTTTGGCCGCCTGAATAAGGTACTAAAAAGTTCCTTATCAGGCGGAAACAAGGTGCGAGCCTTTAACGGTTGGGTCATGCCAGTCCTAATGTATTCTTTTGGTATACTCAAGTGGACACAGACTGAACTTGACACCCTGGATAGACGAGTCCGGACCCTGCTGACTGCAAATCGCATGCATCACCCTCGTTCGTCGGTCATGAGGTTGTACATCCCGCGGAAGTGTGGTGGTCGAGGCTTATTAAATGCTAAGACCCTTCACAACCGTGAGGTGTGCAGCCTCAGGGAATATTTCCTGAAAGTCAACGAGGGTATGCATCGAGAAGTAGCAGCGGTGGACAATGGATTCACTCCGCTATCCTTGGCAAAAGAGAACTGGCGCAAACCTGTGGTACTGAGCGTCAATGATCGCAAGGAGGTATGGCATAGCAAGGAGCTCCACGGACGCTTCTTCCGGGCCCTTCATGGGCCCAGTGTAGATTTTCTAGCGTCCGTATCTTGGCTACGATTCAGTAATCTCTTTGGAGAAACTGAAGGATTTGTCTGTGCAATTATGGACGAAGTTATCCTTACGAATAACTACCGGAAATATATAATTAAGGATGGGACGGTTGACATATGTCGGGCATGTCATAGTCCTGGTGAATCCATTAGACATATTATTTCTGGTTGTGGTCGTTTGGCTAACAGTGAATATTTGCATAGGCATAATCAAGTAGCCAAGATTATCCATCAGCAACTTGCTTTGCACTATCGACTTGTTGAGTCTGAGGTACCGTACTACAAGTATGTGCCCGACCCAGTTCTGGAAAATGACCATATCACGTTGTACTGGGACCGGTCTATCATCACTGACAGGACTATTATAGCCAACAAACCTGATATAGTGGTGATAGACCGACAAGTGCGCCGCACGATGATAATCGATATCACTATTCCTCATGATGAGAACCTCGTGAAAGCTGAAAAAGATAAACAAATCAAATATCTTGATTTGGCTCACGAGGTTGTCGACATGTGGAATGTAGATTCGGCTATCATTGTGCCGATAGTCGTGTCGGCCAATGGGTTAATCCCTAATAGCCTCGACAACCACCTTAGGAGGCTAGCGTTAGGCAGTTGGGTCAAGGGCCTGATACAGAAGGCAGTTCTCCTTGAAACGGCGCGCATTGTGAGGAGGTTTCTGTCTCTGGAGCCCTAACCACCGGTAGCTTGGACCATGCTCCCGCTACTGGTCGGCTCCTATTTTTATATTTTTAAATATTATTTTTATACTGTAGTATTTAAAAATGTAATTTTAGAGAAAGTTTAAATAAATATATGGAAATAAAAATAAAAACTTAAGTGCAATTTTACAGGTTTCCACCTGCCAGTTAATCTGCAAGAAGTATTTCTAATACAGTACAAAACAAAGAACAAAAATTACACAGGCAGTAACAAAACAAATTACAATAAAGCAGCAAGCAACAAAACAAAAAGCATAAAAAATAATACAAGTAGGCAGTCCAGGGTTTGGTAGCTATTGTAATTATAATAAAAGCAGAGAAGGGAAAGCAAAAGGCAAAAAGCAACACAAACAAAAGCATGGCATAAACATGCAGCTACGTGTAACGAAACGCAGCAGATAAAAATAAATGAATAAAACCAAAGACATGAAATGACCATAGATGTAGCAATGACACATGATTCAATAATGACAGAAATGACAGTGACAGCTTCTTATTATGACCATTGATGAGAACAAAGAACGTATATATTTAGTAAAAATTATTTGTTTTAGGCAAAAATGAAGGTGATTCGGCAACAATACGTTATAAGGAAAAGTATGAGTTTTAAAGTTAGTACTTACCCGGACTACCCACAACAAGGAAAACACCCAACTGTGTACTACCTACTTCCGAGCTGCAGCGCGCTTACCCTTAGGCGCGACCACTTTTGCAGCAGCCGTATCAGCCGGTCTAGCACCGCTTTGCCCGGACTGCCCCGATGTCTGCTGCTGCACGCCGCTGCCGTCAGGTTGGGGCTCGATTTTGTCGAGGTCATCCACAGTCGATACACGGTGCCGAATGCCCCTCGAGTCCAGGACAAACACGGTGCCCCTCCTCGTCCAACACTGACTCACTCCGAATCTGTCTCGCGCCGACATAAATACAGAGTGTCGGGTCTTGGTCAAGAACTCCGAGATAGTTATTCCCGTACCTTTTAATTTGGTTTTATCATGCCAAATGTTATCTCGGAGAACCACACTGTGAAGTTTGACGAGAATAGGACGGGCCTTTCGTGTTGTACGTCCCATCCTATGGCACCTCTTGATATCGGATGGCTGTAAATCAATGCTGAGATGCTCCCTGACAACCTTTACCAAAACTTTTGCGGTATCCTCCTCTTTAGCCTCCGAGTCAGCCACACCGTGCACAAGCAGAATTTTCCTTCGTCTGCGCATTTCTGTAGTATCTGAGCTTTGGATCAAGATGTTCACCTGTTGCTGAAGAGAGTAGATTGCCTGAATAGCAAAGGAACGGAACGCTGAAAATCTCGCTGACAGTCCGTTACTAGGGTTGCCTCCTAACTCAGGGCTTTTCTTCAGTTCTTCTTCGAAGCTAGCCATCCGCTGGAGTAAGCAAGCACTCATATCGGTCACTGAGAGTTGAAGTGCCTTCACCTCCATGTTATAGATCTAAGTGCAAGTGATAGTGCAAATAGACAGTAAAGTAAATAAGTGTAATGCTGTTGTAATAGGTTGAAAACACTAGTCTGGCAGGTGGAACCAACTACTAATGGATTCTACTCATTAAAATGTAAATATAACAAATATTACTAATTTTACTTAATTAATTAATATAAAGCCAATTCAAGCTGCTGTTAACTTGGCCACTTTTGACTTTTGCCACGTATCGTCCACGACGACACAGCGAGCCACAGAATAATTATAGAGTTTGTGGAGTATGGTGTGAATTTAGTCGATAGAGTCACAGAATAACGAATGGCACAGAGTTTGTGGAGTATGCGGATTGAGTCGATAGAGTCACAGAACACGCGTGTGGCGGACCGGGATTTTGTTTTGTTGATAGCCAGCAACGATATGCACGATCGTATCCCACTTCTGACACCACTGTTATCGGGTAAAGTCTTACTCACTTAAAAAAAAACACTTTTAGAATGTCCAGAAATATAATAAGAAAATAGTAAAGTTACAAAACCCTTAGTGTGTCCGCCACGAGGTCCAAAGTAAGTGTGTCATTCTAATAAATGCAATGAAACGTGTAATGTTAAGTAAACGTGGCGCATCAACGTGAGCAACGGGGATGCGGTGTCAGCGGTTTTATTTTAAATGTCGGGGCTTAACTTATAACAGCTCTCTCACACTTAAAAACTTAGTCTAAGTGATAATATAGAAATGCGTGTTATTATTATTATTCCGCACGCTAAGTAGGTATGCTATGAATTCTACTACGACGAGCACGAGCGTACGGCACGTCACGTTGCGGGTGCGGCTCAAAGAGCCATCATGCCACCACAGGTGGGACCCAATAGTGCTGACGATACGTAGCCGCGGAGGACTTAACGGGTTACCAGGGCTCCGGCTTGAAGACCACAAATAGGAACGGGGTAGTTTTTAGTCAGTAAGAGTCTGACACTCCCTCTCGCCTCACGCAAGGCAGCAAATCGATGGATGATTTCTCCCCTCAAAAAATAGGTACATTTTGCACAAATGCGCACCACAAGAGCTTTTATGCCAATCTTAAGTTGCCAATATCTAAACACCATTGACCAATCACATAACAGTGTGAATTTAGTTGCACGTTACAAATTCAAATGCGTGCAGTCACACTTACAAGCATTCGTAATAACAGAAGATCATTACAAAAATCGTTATGACTTATGTGTATCAGATAAAGCAAGGGCTATTGTTGCGTCAGCATTACGAGAGCTCACACCATGGAGTATGTAACATAGATAGATCACGTTACGCAACACAAAGATTCACACATGTCTTGCATGGGGCTTGTTCTATGGCCTAACGCTACGTGCCTACCAAACGCCTAATATGCAAGCCACAGACCAACCTCAACTCGTAATTAGTTAAAGGTCGTAAAACACCTGGACAACGTTTTGTTTGAAATTGTAATGCGATGTGGTAATTGTGCGTATGTATGCGTAATGCTTAAGTTAGTTACGTTATGAGTATGTCAGTTTCTTAGAAAACTTGCTTCAAGTCGAAATAAAAAATATTTGGTTGATTCAATTGGTACGTTTATACCACAAATCTCGCAATAAGAAACCACAAGTTACCTACAGTGATTGAATAGATGCCACGAGAAGGATTACAAGATTTATTTATTGAAATTATCAAGAAACTCTTCTGAACAAATGTCAAGAGGCTTGAACATTTGGTTTATACGGTCAACAGCTGGCAGTAGTGTCACTTAATAGAAATAGCTCTTAGATCGAATGAAGTGCTTGTTGTAGTTTCATGCTTGAACTGATTGTGTCAAAAGATTCCATCGAATGACTCCCATTAGCGACTAATGTTTGTTTGTTGTGAAACGTTTCTCATTAAATTGCACAATATCTACTTATCTAAGTGTTCTATGTAACGTATTGTCTACAAAAAGTCCCAGGCGTCACAATCGTCTTGACCCGTAGGCACAAATTACTTTTATAGTCGAGGATATAACATAATATCTGTCAGTCGGATCAACTGCGGACGCGAATTATTCACTGCTACCTGGTTGCATAATAAATAAATACATGATCACATTCATATTGTGTTTTTCTAAGATAAAAATATTTACAAAGTGTGTATTATGTTTCCAGATGGCGCACCGCACCGTGCACCGCTTGGCCTGCCTCGTGACACTCCTCGCCGCGGCGACAGCAACAAAGAAAGAGCAGACGAGATGGTCTCGTCAGATCAGCACATACACCTCGGACATCAGCGACTGGGTGCCCTTGTCCGGCCCCGTCGAGAGGGAACCAGCACCACCACCTCAAATCAAAAGACAAGCTGTCGCAGAACCAAGGATATTGACAGAACCGTTCCCAGGCCTTGTGAGACCTACCGGCTTTAGCCAAGAGTCGTTCCCAGCAAGAAATTATTATAATGCGGCTGCAAATAGACAGCTCTACTTACAGTCAGTGCCGTCTGCTCCCCAGAATTATCTAACAGACCAAGGTTTTGGGCAAGGCATCCGATTCGGTTTGTCTCAGCCTAATTTCCCACTGAGCCAAGGATTTGTAGCTCCTCCGTTTGGTTTCGACACTGTTCAGCCACAGAAACCTAGACCACAGCCCATACTCAACCCTGTCAGTTTCAATCAAGCGTTACCTGCATCTGTTCAATCAAAACCCTTCCTAAATCAAGGCCAGAAAACAAAACAGGAATTGCCGAGACTGGTTGATGGATACCGAGTAGAAAATGCTAGCAGCGTTTTTAGTGTAATGAAGAAACCTCAATCTCTACAGAAAATCAAGTTTGATACAATTGATAAACCATTAAAACCTGAACCACTGTCGCAGCATTCGAAACATGAGAGAGAAGAGGTTCAGTTGTTATACGTTCCACTAGAGTCGCTCAACAGAGGACAGTTTAACTTCCGCAGTCCTTTGACAACTTCGCAGCTAGTTAATACGGAACTGTATTCTGGGGCCGGTCCTCGTCCTACCGCACTCAAACAAACGTTCATAAATGATTACCAGAGGCCCGTTGCAAAACCGCTAGATCCGTTGGCAGGACAAAACTATTTTTCTGAGTTCAACTCCCAATTAAAAGACGATCAAGTGCCAAAATTCTCGACCATCACTACTCCTTTCCCGACACAACCTCCTACGACTCCAAAGCCGAAAAAGCTAAAACCGCACCAACCGCCTCTAGCTATATTCATGACTAAAGAAGTTAGTAAGAACAGTCAAGTTAAAGTTGGAGATGTTCTGTCATCTCTGAAGAATGCAGACACTATCGCTGTGTTGGATTCTGTTAACCCACTGAACGCACCCAAAGTGTTTATTGGACCATCTACTTTACCACCACCAGAAAATTTTGTCAAATTCGAGTTGCCCTATTTGTCTAACATCGAAAATAGCGATAAGAAACTGAAACAATTACCATTCTTTGTTGCTCCCTTGAGCTACAACACTCCAAATGGATTCGCTAAAATTCCGTTCCCATCTCCACACGTGGGTTCGGTCGTTATAAATTCTCAAATACGAGATTCGCCACAAACCCAGCCACCATCGCAACAGTTACATAATCAAAACTTTTATGCAGTAACTCAGCCAACGTACAAACCAGAGAAACCTGTTACACAAAAGCCAACGTTTAGTTACTACAGCACTGCTGCACCTAAGGCTAAACCGGTACCTAATTACCAATCCAACTACTACTCTTTTGAACCGCAGACTGTTTCAACCATTCGACCTCCTAAACAACCAGAGACTGTGACATCTCCCCCCAAAACTGGATCATACTTTATAAGTAACACGGCGCCTCAATACAACTTACAAGAGTTTGCTAACTTTTCACCCCAGAACAAATTCAAATCTTCGGAAATAGTCGACCAGTATAACTTCCAGAGAAAACCAGACCGTACGACGACACATAGAACGACCACAACAACTACGACCACGACAAAGCCTCCTTCGACATACCCGAGTCAACTACTTGAAACTCACAACCCTTACTCAATCAACCAAGCCTTCCACTTCAGTACTCCGTTGGACTACCACAACTACTTTGACGACGTCAAACAACCTTATCCTACTCCTGGTGCTATTGGAATTTCGTCACCATCACCATCGCCTTCCCCGACGCCGGTACCGTCTCAGACACCTACTCCAGCGACTACTCCCAGTACAGTACCACAACCAGAAAAAGTAATCACTCAAAAACCAAAATATAATCAACAATCATCTCCAAGCTACTTACAAAACTATACTCCAGAAATACATTATGATTCTGATCCAAATCTGAAATACCCCGTCTTCAATCCTACTGACTATATTGCTAAATCTGAGCTAACTTCTCAACAGACCCAACCTAATACTCCTGTTAACACTGATAATAATAACCCAGTCAATAACTATAACCAGGATGTTTCTGCACCAGTTAGGAACAGTTATAACACAGACGATCGTGTGCCTGATAGAAACAATTACAATGAAAACATTAATACCCCAGAGAGAAACCAATACAATGCGCCAGCAAGTAGTTACAATACTGATACCAGTAGAGATAATTACAACACACCAGCTGTCAACAACTATAACACAGATGTTAATACTCAAGTAAATACGTACAAAACCGATTATAACCAAAACGTTGAACCTCAACACTCAGCTGAACAAAACACTCCATCGGAACAGACGTCAGATGTCACCAATCTGCCAACCATTTCTGATATCAATACACCTCCTAAGTACAGCAGTGAGGAGTACAATGTGTATCACACTAACTATGATTCTTCAGAAGTCAGCCCAACGTCCTCGTCCACAACAACAAGCACTACTACGCGCCGAACTCCACAGAGAAACAGAGGTCGTCCACGATACACCACTACTCCACGACCTGAGTCATACGAATCTACTACCAGAGTGGTTGTAACAAGACGACCTTTGAGAGAGAGAAGGCCTCTACCTACCAGACCTCGATACGAACCTAACAAAATCACTACTGAAAAACCAAACAAAAAGCCTTTAGACTCCAATGAAAGCACAACTAAGTCTTCTAGAACACGAACGAGAGGGCGTATTCATTATAAACCTTCAGAGAATGAAGATATTTATGATAGAAGAGTCAAGACTCACAATACCAAGGAAGAAGATCTGGCTTACCAAAGAGATGTTCTCCACCAGAACTATCCAGTAACACTAATGGAGCGTATGAGTACTGTAGATATTGAAGCAATCACTGAACCTACCCCTAAACAGACACCTGATAAGGCCGAAGAGCCAATTACAGAAAATGACACTGAAAATGCTTACACGAACGAAAAAGTATCAATAACTCAACATTTCTCAAACAGTGAGTCAAACGAAGAGTCTATTTTACCAACATTTACTGCAAGAAGTACTTTGCAGACTGAAACATCTTATGTGCCAAATTTACCATCAACCCGCCAAGAATATTATTATCAGTCTAGAAGCAGTAGTGCACCAGTAGAGTCGTCTGCCTTTGACGAGACGAGTCCCGAAAAACAAGAAGACATGTATGTCAAGCAAACAACACCTGTATCAAATCAAGAATACGCTGAAATAAGCTCTTACGCAACCGAAGCTGCGACCATTCCTGTTACAGAACAGAGTATAAGTTATTCAGTTGGTAATGAATTTTCTTCAAATAATCAAGAAGAAACTACTACTGCCTCTGAATCTGAGGACATCAGAGTTGACACCCAAGACCATCATGAGAACGAAGAAGAAGAAAATGTCGTTCAAACTACACCATCATACAACCGTGTGCGTGTGCGTCCCGGAGTCATCAGACAATACCATCAAGCGTCAACTGAGTCATCGAGAAACAAGGAACGTAGAAGACCTGCTCAGCCAGTTACTTATAGGCCAGCCTTTAACGGGAGACGTACAACTATGAGAATCGATGAAATCGAAGCTGACCTTAAAACAAAACAAGTACACACTAGCCAAGACGTGCAAGAGGTCAGACATCCTGTCTACAGACCTGACCCTTCTACAGAACCTGTAGCAACTTCACCATCAACAACTGAAAGTGCCACAAAACGCGGTCACTTCCGTCGAAGAAGGCCAACATATTCTTACACTACTACATCGACTGAAGCGCCCAGCACAAAACGAATTTATGAAGTTAAGAACAGGTTTAGGGGACGAAGACCGACTGAAAAACCCACAGACAAGCCTGACGTACAAACAGAAGCACCTACCTCTACCACTAGAACTCAGCTTCATGCCAGATACAGTCACAGACCTAGACTGTCGGAAAGATACAACAAAAAACCAGAAAGCGATGAAATAGAAGATCAAGATTCCAACTTCTCTATCAACAGACCAAAATACGCGGAACCTGAAACTGATCAGTGGTCACCAAAGATTTCAAGCGATTCCTTCAAACCATACAACCCCAACGATATCGTGGATGAACAAAAAGTTGCTACTACAGAACGCCGATCAGACTCAGAAAGTGAATTGGATATCATTACAGCCAGAAATGAATTTGAAGATATATTACTAACTGTAACTCCCGCAAGTAACAACAGGGCTAATAAGAAAATCCCTGAGATCCCTCCAACATTAGAAGCATTGGTCGAACAGAGTAAAGTAACAAAGAGTGATTCGACGGATAATATGTCTACTTTTGAAAGCATGTTGGAAGAAGTAATGAAGAGTTTAGAAGAGCAAGACCAAGACGAATACAACTCAAATGTGATGAAACACAAAGGAGGTGAAATTGGTGAAATTCCACCGGAGAGAATCATATCTTCAGGAGACACCTATGCACTAAAGTCCACTGTAGCATTACAAGAAACCACGACTGCACAAACAACGGCCGATGAATCTCCTCTTATTGCTGAGGTAAGCGTTGATTCATTTTGAAAAAACAACAACTCTTGTGTCGCCAAACGTGTAAACAGAGATACTCAGATGTATGTAGCACTCACTTATAACTAGTTTTGTTATTAATTCCACTATAACCGAAAGCGGACTTCGAAACTAGTAAAATAGGTTAAGCAATACTACAGAGCAGAGATTTTTCGAAAACAAAATCCAAAACGGTAATTTCTACATTACTATTTTTTACGTTACCTTTTTGTTTTCAGGATGACAGTGAACACAAGAGCCGACGTCGTGGATTTTGGAAGAAAGTCAAAGTCCGACCTGCGACAACCGAATCCATTGAGTTCGCTGAATCGCAGTACTACAGCCACACCGTTAACCGCCTTGGAGAACCGGTGAAGATCTCCAAAAACGTTCATGAGAAAATAGAAAACGTTGATAAGCCCAAAGTTACTACTTACAAACCAAGTTATAATTTCATCAAAGATCTTTTCTCTAGTGATGATGAAGCAGCAAATATCGATGTACTACCTACAGTAGACATACCTAAACTTACAAACAAATCTCTAGAAAATGAAGAAACTCTGATTACCGAAGAAAGTAAGCAGACAACAGTTTACCTCGACAAGGAATCGCAGACTGAATCAGCCATTAGTCCAGGAGACTTAGATTTAGGCACAGGCTCGCCCGACCCAACAATTGACGACCTTTACTTAACCACTCCAGCAGAGCCAACTTCAACCAACAAACCAATAACAGTTAACAGACACGACGCAGGATTCAGTTTCATGGATTATTTGTTTGGAACAACTGCAGAGGATAGCCATAAACAGGCTGATGGCGAGGAGACTGTAAAAACTATTGAAAGCGAAATTCAAACAGAAGCACCTAAACTTAAAATTGTTACAACAGAAAGTTCATTTATTCCTGAAGAAATAACTGCAGCTTCAATAAGTGACGAAAACACCGAGGCCATTACAGCTTTCGCCGAAATCAAAAAGTTAAATAGCACAGGAGAAAGTACAGAAGGTGTTACAGAAATATCAGTAGTCAAGGTAGAGAGCTCGTCTGTGTCCTCGTTTATGAATCCAGCCAATGTAGTGAGCACTTCTATGTCCACAGAAGTGTCACATGAAACAGAAATATGCTTTAGAGGAAAATGCATCAAAACTAGCAAAGACATTCTATAAATTCCAAGTGATCTGTAAACATGGTGCTAAAGACTTGTGTTCAAAGTAGTGAATTTGTGAAAGGACATTGACTTGAGAAAGTTCTCTCAAGTAGTCGGATCAGCAGAAAATTGTATTCTTCTATGAAATATTTATTAGTATTTTTGTGTGGATTAGGTATTCGGTGCGGTGAAATCTTGTAAATAGTATTTTGAGAGGCTCTTTACTTGGTTCCACCTTAGTAATTATTTCTAATGATGTAGGCTTAGCTTCTTTTTACTTTTAAGGTCTGTGGCCACATGCTTTAAGAGTAACTATGTAATATAATATTTTTACGTAGTTTGTATTTTTAAGTGTAAGAACTTTAACAAATGTTATCTACCTGCTAACTATATCTTAATGTAAATATGACTGAAATTTTTGTAACCATATTTTTTAAGATTTCATTGTTACTTAATTACTATTTATTTTCTTAGTATAACTATTACTATAAGTTTCCTTACAATAAAATAAAATGCTGTTACATTATATTTTCAAAATGATGGGACAATCAAAGACACTGCCTTATATTCTATCCCACCCAAACAACAGCAATCTTGCTTATTTGATAGATAATAGTGTAAGAGCTATCTATTAAATAACCACTGAAATTGTAACTGTATTAAATAAATAAAAGTATTACCAATTAATTATTTGTTTATTACTACCCCGTATTTTGTACTCTGTAGACCCAAAATCAAATCTTTAGGCCAGGTCCCAGGACTAGACTCAACTCAATACATATCCAAATTTAAGATAATCAATGCCTAGTTTCTTCGTGATAGTATGGTACATGGTAAATAATAGTAACAGCACAATACATACAATATAACGTACTTACACCTCGATTAAAACGCTTTGTTCGATTGCTTACAAATATTATTACCTATTACGTCCATGCAAAGAATAATAAAAAAAAAATACAATTTGACACTGACAGTCTGCCACTGTTACTGTCAGCTATCTGTATCTGTCAGTTCGGTTGATAACTCCCGCCGCACGCCGCACGCCGCTGTATTTTGCCGCTTCTGCAAGTTGAAACTATCATTATTACTTTAAATTCATCATTAGTGTCGCGTTTGTGTCAAGATTAGAGTAATTACTAAAAATATACAAGATATAAAACAATAAATATGGATATTGAAACGAAAGTCAAAGGAGACATGAAGGCTTTAGGCTGCAAGTCTGATCTAAAGGTATCTTTAGCTTACCACCTTTACTTACATCTAGTGGACCAGAAGTTGATGTACGACACTGAGTATTGTTACAATAAGGACATAGATACTCTTTACATCGTCGCCCGGCCAAGAAGGAACGAGAAACCAAACATTTACGTACCGATACCGACGCACGACGAGATCACCGTGGATTTCATCAACAAAATACAGGAGAATCTGTGTACAGTTGAGACGGGGCCGTCTGTGAACCTGGCGTTTGTTGAAGGTGATCTAACTATTGTAATATATACATTTACAAAGGGTCTGGTTGAGCGGCCACCGCCGGACAAAGTTGCACAGCTGCGAGTTAGAGATGGAAGGAGGAACTTCATTGATAACGAGCTGAAGAAGAAGAGGAACAACATTGTGAATGATGCCTTGAACGGAGGAGTTGTGGATGATGATGACTGCCAAGTAGTGGAGTGAAGGGAGTACTGTAGTATTAGGGGTTTTGTTGACAACAAGGACTAAAGTCCTTGGATTTCTGATATGAACAGTTGTAACTGTTATAATTACAATGTTGTAATGTTTGTGAGATACCACTCATTGTGGGTGCTCCATATATGATTCCAATCTATTCACATTTAATTGTCATTGAGCAACCATGTGATCTATTCAATGTATGTCACTGAAGTTTTAATGGTAAAATAATCCTTTTATAAATAAGTATGTTTAAAGAAACCGACTTCAACCACCTCTTTTTTCGAAGTCTGTCATTAATATACTAAAACACCTCTCAAGTGTAACAAACACTGTACTGAAAACTGCATCAAAGTCGGTTCAACCAATTGAGAGATATTCGCACACAAACTTACATACAGGTCATACTGAGAACTGCCTTTTTTCTATTTGAAGTCGGTTAATAAATATAATAATGTAACATTTAAAATGTATTGTAGAGTAAGAGAGAGAGAGAGTGTTTGGAGATGAATATTTTTATATTTTACAAGTAGTTAATCTATACATATAATAAAATTGTAGAAAAGTGCTGTCTGTACATTGAAAATAAAAATAAAAAAAATAGCAGGGGTTATTGTTATGTCGATGTCGAACCCAAAAATGTAATTAACTTTTTTTTGTCTGTTTGTCTGTTCACGCTAATCTCAGAAACGGCTGATCCGAGTTGGATGCGGTTTTCACGAATATATTGTGGTATGCTTCAGTTATGCTTTAGTGTTTGTTTCATGTCAATCGGTTCATAAATAAAAAAGTTATGTAAAATTAAAGAATCATGTCGAACACTATTCTATGCTTAAACATACAAAATGACTGTGATTATGATCCAAAATAAAAATAAGTATATATTTAAAAATAACGCTGCTGATAGTCACTATTCCACGCGGACGAAGTCGCGGGCACAGCTAGTGTTTAATATTTCCAATCAACTAATTTGTCATGGTAATTAACTAAGGCCTTTGGTTCTAAAAAACTTGTAAATGCTAATCACTTTAAAAGTAAAGTACTTTAAACAAAAGAGTGAGTGTTCACTGAAATATTTGCTTAAAGTGACACTCACTCAGTAACTTAGGAATTAAGGTAACATTCATAAATATTACGTTTGTCTGATCACTTTAATTATAATGAATCACTACATAGTATAAAACAAGTTGCTATCCGCCATCTGTTTGTCCAGCATATGTAGATGCTTACATCTCTAAAACTGAACAGATTTTGATGCGGTTTTTTTTACTAGATAGAATGATTCTTTATATGTATAATACATGCATATTGCACCCGTGTGAAGCTGGCGCGGGTCGCTAGTATTGATATATTATACATGTTTCACAAAAACATTACTCAAATAGAAATAGATAAGACGAGTATGCATGATTGGGAAAATGTTATGAAAATATAGTTTTTAAGAAATGGGTTTAAAAGAAAACTGTACTTCCAGGCACAGACAATACATTCCTTTAATTATTCTTGTTGTGGGGTTAATGGATGTGGGGAAAAAATTTATTATTTGTTGGAAAATTAAAATTGATAAATGGAGGCAATGTACTCTAATAATGAATTGGATTGGTCGTAATGGAGAATCTACTATGGGCAAAGTTTACAGTAGTACACTTTTTAAACAAAATCCGGTGTAGTGTACTGCAAACTTGCTATCCACTGCGCGTTGTCCCTGTTGACTGTTGTTGCTCACGCCAAATGCTTGCGAATATCCCTTAATGGTCGCCACCAACTTTGTTGATAGTACCTTTGTTTTGCTACCAGTCTTAAGATATTCCAGAATGTTGTGATGGTTGCATGAATGATGTTTTATTATATTAAGTTAAAGGGATTTGTGGAGAAATTGTGGAATGTGTATAATATGTTAACACACCCATGAGTGAACATGTACTGAAAATAATTTTAAGTATTTAAAGTCAGATTCAAATATTTAATTTAGACTAGAAAGACCCTTTTGAATATCAAACATAGAAATTAAAAGTGTCAGTCTGTCGGTCAGTCCTGTATTGAAACTAGAAAATAGTTTTCAAGGTGTAGATTCCTATGGAATGGGCAAGAAACTGGTTTTCTGTTTGGGTTGCTCTGTTTCAGTCACAGAGTATTAAGGAGGCCATACACACTAGGGTTTGCATGATGGTTATAACATTGCATGCAAAACTGACAAACCGAGCACCGATGCACTGATAACTGTACAGTTTAATCACATATATGCTAGGGCTTGCCTGTCGGTCCACTCAAACCGTCATGCAAAACCTAGCATGTATGGCCTCCTTTACACATATATGCCAGTAACAGAGTAACCTATTGAAGTTAATATACACCTATACCTCCAAAAAAGAACAAGCAAGAAAATATAAACGATATTCATACTCATGATGTATGAAAATCATATGCAGAAATGGTTTTGTAATGAATATGTAAAAATGAATGAATTGAAATGTAAATAAGTAATGATCTTGGAACTTCAAGCACGAGTAGGTTAATTGTAATGATATATAATTATTTATATCTTCTTTGTAATGGTTCTCTATGTTGGTTATTAGCTATCATTAAGATCACCCATGTTGTTAATACTTGCAAGAAAGTTACAAACTACACATTTTTATGTGGATTTTTTTTACTAAATGTTATTTTTTATGGAATGTCAGTAATCATGTACTATGTGTGTTACAAATAAAAATAGCATATTATGTATGTTCAATACTCTGGATTTATTGTCTCCTCAGCCGAGTCCACAAGCGACTCTCGCTCTATTGTAAACCTTATTTCCGATGCTAAGAGACTATTTTTGTATGAACAAATGGTTCTGTGGATTTTTCATACGATATTTCAAAGCTTTTCTCTGAAGCAAATCTCTTTGAAATGCATAAATTATTGTACTAAGTATAGTATGTATAGTGTATGAGAAATTTATGAAATTTTGTACCATTCATGTAGTGTACTTTTATAATATAAACTAATACCTACTTTGAGAATATTTTCTTTTATTTTCCTTTTAATTTTTCAGGTGAAACGAGATTTATTTGATAGATGGCTCTCCATCTACTTATCTCTATAAGTCATACGGTAAAAATGCTTTAATCGATTTTAAACATTACTACACGATAATTAACAATATTTTTACACCAGCAATGGTAGTGTGTGAAACAATAGGTATTTAAAGTAAACCTCAATGTACCATATACTTGGAAATAAATGACATTCTATTCTAGATAGGGTATCAAATCTATGAAATTATTTTTATAGATTGTTGTAGAAGTTTGTTATGATGCTACCATAGATATAATAATAAATCTGACTATGATAGTTTACCTAAGATAAAGGGGAATAGAAAAGTGTTAAGTAGATAATATAGAGTACTTACAGATTTTTTTATTGCATAAGAGGCATACGCACTGACGGAACACCTGCCTGATGTAAGCAATCAGCGTCGCCCATGGACACCAGCAACACCAAAAGAGTCACAGGTGCGTTGCCAATTTTTTAAAAAGGTATACGCAATTTTCTTGAAGCTTTGAAGAATAAATTAAATTTAGAGAAATACTTCTTTGAATAGCCAATGTTTGTTCCTAATCCTCCTCCTCTAGACTTCTGGACCTCAGTTGTTAAATACCTAAGCTTTGAAAGTTTTACAATGAAATCACCATGAAATGAAGTTACTGCTCGATCATGCGACTAGTAAGTAGGTAGATATTTGAGCAAAATGATTGTGTTTTGTAGGTAGGTAGTAGGAGCAGAAGGTAAGTAAGGCATATCCGTATCATAATCAATTTTAAATTACCATGTCAACTGTGACAAAATATCAATTAAGTCTAATATTTTTCAATGTTTTTAATTTTATTGTTATTTTTAAAGTTAAACCATTATTCAAATAATAATTTACAATGTATGATTTTGTACCCGTTTTTCAAATAGAACTATGAACTGAAACGGTCCGGTACGATAAAATTGGCAACACTGTTATTTTTCATTGACATGGAGTTGAGTTGTGAATCGCGCGAAAGTTTTTTGAGTTAGGTATCGTTTTCATCGTAATTTCAACATAATAAGCATTCAGTCAGGCTGTATAAATATTGTTCTTTCCATCTAAACGTGATGTAATAAGTGTTTATGGATTGTGTTTGTGCAAATCTCGAAAAAAGTTCAAATTACTGTACCTACCTACTGGACCTGCATGCCAGCCATGGATGGAGGACAATTTTCTGCATCTTTAGTAAGTAAATAAACATTTCTTCTGCCCCTAGGGATACTCACTGACCGTTCCTTTCATATTTTAAGATCAAAATTATACCTACCAGTGATAGGTGCTGACTCCGTAGCTTAGTGACTTCGCCTGAACCGCGCACGCTGGTCATGAGGAAGAACCCCTCTGTGGTTCTAAACTAGTAGACCTTTTGTCAGTATGTTCACGTGAGTAACCCGTGATTTTTAGTTAAATTGATACAGACTGATTTTGGTTTTTTACGAATGAAATCTATTCGTCAGCGTCATCTATTGGGGAATAGCTAAAATAAATTCTGAGGAGCCAAATCAAAATGCTTCAGCTACTCGCCGCTAGATGGTACGAATCCAAGTTTTATTTCGGAACAATTATAATAAATAAACATTATTAAATTATCAGTACAGTCTTTTTTAAACATGAAATATGTACAGTAGAAGAAAGCCGTTTTTCTTGAATGTGTATGGAATTGAACAAAAATTCGTTAATTCTCACGTAACATAATATTAAAATTGAGAAATCATGCCAGATTCTTAATGATTTTTACGCCGAAATGCCAAAAAATATAAGTAAAACTAAAACTTTTATGCCCTATGGAGGTGGTGCACTATTTCGGATGTTTCATCATCTGTCAGGATGGCCGAGCGGTCTAAGGCGCCAGACTCAAGGTTCCCTTGCTCGCTGAACGTGAGTTCGAGTTGTTCTGGTCCTCTCTGAGGGCGTGGGTTCGAATCCCACTTCTGACAAAACTTTT